GCAGTTAAAAAGGCATGTAAACCAGTCACCGGTATACAATCTCATATAGGCTGATTTAACATGTTATGTTAAAAGTCATTATTCATACTTAAAATCTGCAGCTTTCAAGACACTACAGTACTAGCTTGGCTATGCAAAATGACAGTGTCTCTGCAAAGGGCATCCTTCACCCACCATACTTGGCTTACCTGGGTTTCCTCGTAGCTCCTTGCTCCTCCTTAGCCAACACTGAAATCAGCAGAGTCGCCAAACTGGGGAAACCTTAATGTCACTCCCCCAGCAAAGTATTAAAGAAGCATTTCCATCACACACCATACCAGTATACCCCTTAGATCGGGTGCTGGAACAACTGTAATGCATAAGAAATATATGTTGACAGCACACCTTGTTTTAAAGCTTCTCTTTATTGACGTTCGTTCAGCGTATTAAGAGAGATGGCAATGTTTCAGAACATCGCAGGGTTCCAAAAGGCAGGCAAAGTGACATGCTGTCTGATGTAGGGGCGACGCATGGTTACGAAACGTTGCAATCACTCTTGATACACTAAATAAACATCAATAAAGCCAAGTTTTGAAGCAGAAGGTGCGCTGACAACTTATCTTCCCAATCCCCCAGTAATGCGACGCTGCTTAGGCCTGGTGATCGGCTGCTAGGCTGAGGCACTGTCAAAGGGGAGCAGGTCACGTACTCCCCCATACCCAGGCATTGGAAGGAGAGAAGCTGCAAGGGAGCGAAGGCAAGGGGGGCCAACCTACAAATCGCTAAGTTTAAGAAAGAAAAAAATGCAAGTCACATTATATAAACCAAAATAAGGCTCCTCAATGTAAAAAACTGTAACAGAAATCTAAAAAATTCTTACCTTTTCTGCAGAACTTGCTCCCTGGTCACACAACCAAATGCCTAGGCACGCAGAGACTCCAATTCTACCCTTCAGAGATCATGTGACTGAACCCGAAGGCAAGTTTTACATGGGCAGCTGCCGTGGGACCCCAGGATAGCAGAAGTTTCTGCAGCATAGGCAAGGATTTCAGGATGCTCTTATTATGGGGCGAGGATCTGTAATGTAAGGCTTCCCCAGAGGGCGATAACTAAAATTTCCAACCGGAGGACGTTCTTATCTTCCCACACAAAGATTTTCCAACTTGTTATGAACAGATGGGAGCTGTGCAGCAGTGTTAAACTATCCAATATGTAAAAGTTTGTGATTCATATCTCAAAACTGGGGCCATAAGGCTCTACAGAAAACAAATCTAAGTAATATTCTCATTTTAAGATTTCAGATTATGAAATAAACAGGGACAGACCTAATCCCATAAAAGTAAACACATAAATACAATGCGAGCACAGGCGCTGTACACCATCAGCTACTGTATCTTCATTGTGCATTACCAGGGCTTCTCTCATGTTTGTTTTTCCATCTGGTTACCTTCTGATTATTAAGAACAGAAGGGGGAAAAAGGCACCACGTGTGTGTGCAAAACATTTACACAGGAAAAATGAGCGCAGCAATAATACCTTCTGGAGTCGAAGTTTGTTTAACCCTTTTCAGTCTGTAGCATATGAGCCATAGGCTTAAAGGTTCACAAGAAGAATAGAGAAATTACAGAAATGTTATAGGGCCCATTCACAGCTATGTGCACGATGGCCAGGGCTTGAAACATTTTAGGGTGTCTCGCCAGTCAGCATGACCGGACTATAGCTTTGCAATTTATGCTAACATTTTTTTGGGTTTGGGAACAGATAAAGCTTTCTTTTGGTGGTATTTTATTTGTTACTCTATAATTAAAAAAAGTACCGTAAATGTAAAAAAAAAAAAGGTTTCCCTACATTATGTTATAAAACATCTATTCTTACACATATTTTTGGTAAAGCAAAAAATGTGGGGTCATGTCGGGTAAATAGACCAAACATGTCAAGCCTTAAAATTGCGTGCACCCGCAAAAATCGACCACACTGAAAATTGGCCACAGGCGACACTTAAAAACGCTTTTATTGCTCATCAGTTTAGTGTTATCAGTAATTAAAGTCCCTAAAATTATAACTCACACTCCGACGTTCGCGGTGATATGTAACATGTGCGGCACAATAGGCGCAATTGTCGTTTTCGCACGTAGGCGCACCCAACACATATCTGCGTGTGTATGTGGGGGGCGGGGGACTTAAAAAAATGTTTTTTGTTTTTTTTTTAAATGTTATGCTTCTTTAATTTTTGTATTACTGTTTTTTTTTTTACACAACTTTCTTAGTATCACATAGAGGAATAAGAAGCCCCCTATGTGATAGCCAATTTACATGACTGGTCCTCTTTATGGAGACATCAGGGGTCTCCAAGATCCCTAATGTCACCTAGGGACACCCAGAGAAGCAGAGATATGCTTCATCAGCTTCTGTAGCTGGAGAATGACACTGAATGCAGGAAGTATACATCACATCCTGAGTTCGGGGACTGAGAGGAGATCAAAGGAGATCAAAGGGAGATCGTGTACCGAACTCCTTTCCGCATCGAATCTCGGGACCGGCAGTGACAGCTGCTCCGGCCGTATCGAATCTCGGGACCGGCAGTGACAGCTGCTCCTATACAAGCGATCGGGCATCTCTAGAGACGCCTGATCGCTTGAATGTAAAGCTCCGGGCCAGCCATGTAATTACAACGACCGGCCGGGAAGCTGCTCGTCGGGATCCACCGTCCTCTCGTCACAGACGAGGGGATTTTTCAAGCCCGGACGATGACTAATGTGAAATAGCGTCCACACCACACCAAGAAGTACAGGGAGAGTAAAATGTACTCTTCTCAATACTTAGAAACAGTGTGTGACACTGCAGGTGTCCCACGCTGCCTCTATATACCGAGAGCTGAGTGGTCACAAACCGCTGATTGCTCAGCTCACGGTCCTCCCACCACTCCCCATAGGGATTCCCCCTCCCTTCTCTGTTCCCCCAGCACTCATTGGAAGGACAGACAAGGGAGGAGGTGGAGAGCCAGCTGTCAATCAGGCAGCGGGATAGATCCTTAACAATATTGTTAGGATCCTTCCCGGCTTCAGAGTGACTCTGCCGCTATCTGCTGACTTTGGGTTACAGGAGTACATTAGTAAATATACAAGGGATGCACCGATACATCGGCAGCCGAAACATATCGGCCGAAAAGTGCATTTTAGGCTAAATGCCGAAAGTGCAATTTTTCTGCTGATACAGCGGCGCCTCCCTGCTTTCTTTTCTCCCCGCTGGGCGCTGCTCTGTGTCCCAGGGGGGAGGAGAGAAAGTGTCACAGGCGGCCAAGCACTGTGGGAGGAGAGTGCTGTGAGAGGCCGGCGTCTCTCCTCCCCGCACCGATCAGCCTCCCGTCACAGTCCGGCAGAGCGGCAGTGTGGGCGGAGACAGCCTCCTGCGACAGCGTGTCAGGAAGGAGAGCGAGGTACAAACACTCAGTGATCACTGAGTGTTTGTGAATAATTGAGGACATAGTATGGTTACTATATCCTCAATTATGAATGAATGGGAAGTGATCTACATCTCCTCCTGTTCATTCATGATTGTGGATATAGTAAACATACTATGTCCTCATGTTATGAATGAACAGGAACGCTCAGTATAGAGGATTCCTGTTCATTTATAACAGGGGCTGCAGTAAAAGAGATTGAGAACTCTTGTGTTCTCAATCTCTTTTTCTATTTTAAAAGGGAAATATCAGGGGTCTGTTTAGAACCCTAATATTTACCCAAAGCCCCTAAAAGTAAAAAAATACAAATATTTAATTTAAAAAAATGAATACAAATTAAAAAGTTTATAAAAAAATAAAATCTTTTTTTTTAAAAAATTGAAAAAAAATTAAAATAAACATTTTAGGTATCGGCCTGAATTTTTTAAATTTCCGTTTCATTTCGGTTTTGAAATTTCCATTTCGGTGCACCTCTAAAATATACTCCTTTGACCTAAAAGAGGACTACAGGCACAGAAAGTTAAGCTTTAGAGCAAGTCAATGCATGTATTCTTCATTACAGGCGTTAATGTGCGATGAGGAGCCGGAGCTTCTGTTTACTTCACATGTGCGCTTTAGGGTGCCAGTGAAAATAAATACAAAGCGCATTGTCATACCACACATCAACACGCATGTTAAAGGGAAACCGTTATGAGAGATTCATGGAAGCTGCCATTCCCTAACTCTATTTTGAGAATGTTCGTTCCATGGCTGTCATGCTGATGCTTTGATTTCAATGATGTCCGAGTTGCTGACCCAGAACAAGCATAGAGATAAGTAGCTCTGACACTTAATTACAGTATACCTGTTCTAGGGACTGCAACTGAAATAATCGGGCACCTAGCATTTTTAGAAGGAGGCCTGCAATTGGCACCCAAACTTTTTTTTTTTTATGACAGTCACTTTAATGTGTATTTCCACTTTCACAGCCAAATTAGGATAACACCTATTTTATATTTGTTATATGTTCCCATTCCCATATGCTAAAAAATACATTAAAAATGTTTCTTGCAGTTTAAATAGCTTTTACTTGGGTTAGGGTTTTAAATGTTAATTTCTATATGTGCTTCTATTTTTTTTAAATGTTAGGAGGAGCTGTGATGGGTGAGGGGTCTTGTCCATTTAGGCTTGTGCATTGTATGTTAATGAGGCTCATCGGATAAAACACAATCCTCACATTTCAGTCCCAAGACTTTCCATTTGCACAGACATTTATGAAAGGGCTAAGAAAAACCTGGAATCAGCCATCTTCCCTGATTTAACATCTAAAAAGGTAAGACATTTTTTTTAAATGTTATTTTTCAGTATGCTGTGTGAATGGGAACACATAACGAACATATAGAAGGGTTTTCTCAAATTGGACTGCAAGATTGGAAATACACTAACACACTAAAGCAAACACATAGGTGTGATATGGCCCCAAAGAACAAGTCTTTACAGAAGTGATATTTTATTTGTTGAACTCCTGTTTCGAGATTGTTATTAAGAGCCTGTGTCCTCGAAATGTAAATGAATGTCATACCTGGAGTAGGACTGTTCCTCCGGGAAAAGTTAGCTGTAAACAGTATTTTGGAGCATTCTCCCAGGACAGAAGCTGGACATCCTCAATAGAGCTGTATGGCATGCTATTCTCCATGTACCCAGTAGGCTGCGGAAACAAAGTAAAATATGGTTACTTTCCCTTGTAATACCAATGCAAAGCTGGTGATCTGCATACTCTCTAGCAAATGTAGTATTGTATACAAGAATAGCCTCCATTACAAGTATATTATTGTTTAAAATAAGAATCCCCCTTTGGCTAAAATATACCTGCAAAGCTAGCCCTATCCATTGATCTAGCAATACATATGATGCCATCCCTGTCGGATGGTGATGGGCAAAAGTGATCTATATACAGTCAGAATTTCTATCCCAAACAGCGGCAAAGCAGCAGAAATTACACAGGTCTCTGATGCAGCCAACCCCATGCTCATGGGGAACCACAGGGTCTCTCTCCCATTATTTATACATAAGATCATCATTTGAAGCTTCACTCCCAACTGCACAAATAATGATGTGTAGGTGATGATGTGCTGTGTATTTCTGTGGAGAGAATGGAAAGTGCAGTGTTTGAGAAAAGAGGCGTTAGAGATGTAGGGGGTAGAAGTAATGTTTAAGTGGATTCAAGAGCCCTGATTAATTAAAGTAAAAAAAGCACTTAAATCAGATCAATTTATTACTAGCAAAAGGGGGCAGCTCACAAAATAAATATTAAACCCAAAAAATCTCCAGCTAACCAGCATGGGAGCAAAGCCTAAGGTTTTTGTGTTGCATACAATTGCAAATATATGTGAACCCACACTGCCGTGACACGACGCCTCTGCAAAGTGTAGACCTTACTTCAAATATAACAGAGTTCTCAAGTTTTGGATATATAGCAATACATAAAATGACAGCAGGTATGCCTTGGAGGTAATTCCATTACTTCTAAAAAGGTGCAGGGACATACCAGAAGCCCAAGACTGCTCAAAGGCAGCTGTCAACCCCAGTCTATGTCTACACCAAATGCAATAAAGCAAAGTAAGCATGGCACCCACTGAAATCAGTTTCTATCAGGCAAACGTAAGGTGCACGTGGGCAAAAGAGTGAAAGGAATAAAGCAAAAAAGAAAATCCCCAGCACTCTTACTAGGTAATCAACACAAAAACAAAGTCTAAACTGCTCCACTTGCATTAAAACAGAGGCTTTTATTGTATTTCTTCCCCTGTGGTTTCAATTATTTTCTCCGCTCCAGTCCATAACCAGGCCAATTACAGACATCGTCCAAACTGGCCAAGTTGAATCTCAAATGGTTACCTTTAAATAGTTTTAAAAAAAGGTGTGTGTATACAATATATAAAATGTACCCTTTACATTTGGGGGCGGAATCTATCAAAACTGGACAGCAGACAAAATCTGGAGCAGCTGTGCATGGCAACCAACCAATCAGCTTCTCTTTTCAGTTGAGATTTGAAAAGGAAAGAGAGGCTGATTAGTTGCCATGGGCACCTGCTCCAGTTTTTGTCTGCTCCAGTTTTGATAAATTCCCTTCATTGTATATTAACATCAGTCCCAGCCTTCTAAGGAGCTTACAATCTAAGGTCTTTATCTCTTATACATTCATACACACACACACGAGGACCTATTTACACAGGAGCCAATTAACCTTCCAGCATGTAACCGGAGGAAACCCACACAAGCTCAGGGAGAAAAAGCAAACTCAAAATTAGTGTCCAGACTGGGATTCGAACCTGGGACCTCCAGTGCTGGAAGGCAGAAGTGCCATCCATTAAACCACTGTGCTCTTCACATGGAATTTGGTACATGCACGCTTAAGTATATAAAAAATGACTGGGTGCACCAAAAAAAAAA